TACAATCTACAAATCTTTGTCATATGTTACCTTGCTGGCTTGTTCTTAGAAATCATTATCAGACTTGGAATCAAACTGTTTGGCCCTAGGGAATCAACCCAAGTTAATTCCCTTGTGACACAGGTAGAAATTGTTTTAATAAAAAAAAAAAAACATGAACAAGCAGTAGAGACTCACTCCTACTGTCTTCACTCTTATAAAAATTTAAGTAAGTTCCACGGAAATAGAAATTGTTTTGTTGTTTACATCTCCATTGCCTAGAATACTGCCCGACACATAGTTGATGCTCGGTAGATATTTGCTGAATGAATAAGTGAATGCCCCCTTATCTTTAAACTTTCAACTCATTGTCTCCTTCCTATAGTTCTTTCCCCCTGAGTTGGTTACTCGATTTTTTTTATTTTTTTTTAAATCTTCACCTGAGGATATGCTATTGACTTCTTAGAGAGAAGAAGGGGGGCGGGAGACAGACAGACATCCATTGGTTGCATCTCATATCTAACTGCCCCAGCCAGGGACTAAACCCACAACCTTTTTGGTGTACAGGACAATGCTCCAACCAACTGAGCCACCCGCCAGGGCTGCTTTCACTTCTTTTGGGTATAAACCTAGGAGCGCAATAGAGGGATTATATGGTAATTCTGTTTGACATTTTAAGGTACTACCAAATTTTTCCACGGAGGCTGTGCCATTGACATTTCCACCAGCATGAGGGTTCCAATTTCTCTGCATCCTCATCAGCACTTGTCATTTTCCCTTTCTTGCTAATAGCCATGCTAATGGGTATGGTATCTCATGGTGATTTTGATGTGCATTTTTCTTATAACTAATGATTTTGAGTGTCTTTTCATGTGCTCATTAGCTATTTGTATATCTTCTCAAAGGTTTCTTTTTTAAAGGAGAAAAAAGATGAGCATGTATAGGAGGATTGTTCGTTTCCTCATTCCCACCTCCGTGTGGAGGAAAGTAGATAAATATAAATAGTGTGCAGTTTTATATAGTTGGGTTGTCTGTCTTTATATTTGGTCTGGTTTCCTCTGCGTGCATACTTATCTCTTTTGTGAACATAAGTCTTGTCTACAAATAGATAACTCTTGACTGTCAGTACTGTGTTACTACACTTAAATGGCTGAGAGATGTCTGGTATTAAAAGTAAATGAGGGCCTTCCAGTTCATCCTTACATGGATATTCTCAAAATTAGGATGCACTTGTATTGCATTCACCCCCAAGCACTAGGTAGAACTTCTTGTTGTGTTCTTGTGTGTGTGTCAGTTGTAGGAGTCTGAAAGGCTTTGTGGCCCAGACATCTGCGGTACTTAGAATGGTCTGTGGTCTTCTATGCTCTAACACAGAAGCCAGTTCCTGTATTCTTTTTTGTGAAAACTCTCCTGTGAGGACAGTATAGTACAAGATGCCGACTGATATTTTAACAAAGAGAGCTTTATCCATTAATTTCCCATGTGTATTATTTACTATATAATACACATGGGAAATTAATGGATAAAGCTTTAAAGTGACTTTTCATTTGGGGGAATATGACGGTTTAATTATGTTAACTGATGCTTTCAGTGTACTGTTGATGAAATTTTAAGCGTATTCTCATTTTTCTGTTATATCTCAGGTGTTTGCTGACTGGCACATTGGAGAGTATGTGCTTATCTGGCATGTCCATAACAGAAGGAACTGCGCGTTCCTCTCTGCTGAACTGGGTTGCAATTTCTCCCCTTTGGCAGTTCAGAAGAGCAATCATATTAATCATAGATTAATATCCGTGGCTACATAGTAATTTTAAATCCAGAATAAACCTAGATTAGAAAGACTCTCTTATGGGGGGGGAAAAAAAAAAGGAGGGGTGGGGGTGGGAAGTACTTCTAAAGAAGTATATGTCTTACAGGTTTTTAGGAATCATTTGTTTTTATTGCCTTATTTCTTTATTTTCTCAAGTTAGTCTTAAAGGAAGGAGAGAGAGAGATAAATGTCAATGTGAGAGAGAAACATTGACTGGCTGCCTCCCACATATGCCCTGACTGGGAATTGAACCTGCAACCTAAGTATGTGCCCTGACCAGGAATCAAACCACAACATTTTCGTGTACAGTATAGCGCTCCGATTAACTAAGCCACTCAGGGCCTGTTACATGAAAAAAAATATAACACTATACCAAAGAAAAAGGTTTTTTTAAAAATATAATTTGTTTTGTTTGCTTATAAAAATTTATACCCCAAATGGCATAACTGGAATTAAAGAGAAATACTGGGAAGTTCAGTTTATTTCTTTATTCTTCCAGATTTATATGTTTTCAAAAGTTGTTTTATCTTTGCATTTTAATTACTCATTCTACCCCTCTTCATATGGATTCCGTTTTACTCAGAACTGTTCTCGGAGATTATGAAGAATACTTGTATCCCTTGAAGTGTTAAAGCCGAGAGTGAAGAGCATATTTGAACTTTAGAAAGCCATTATTTCCAAAGGGCAGGGTTAGGACCCAAAATAAAATGTTGTGTTCTTTTTGATTGACAGTATTTTCATTTAAAAATTGAGCTGATCCAAATGATGAACATTCAAAAGAAAAAAATTGCCTTTGGATGTACTATAGACATGCTTTCTCGGTGCTTTGGTTTTGTTTTTTGCAATATTTGTGCTCGCTCATGCTTTTCTTAAATGATTGGAAAGTACTATTAAATGGCAGACTTCCTGTGACATCTCACCCTAAATACTTCAGCATATGTCTCCGAAGAATGAGGATGTCGTTTTGCATAAGACCACAGTACTGTATCACATTCTAGAAAGCTAACATTATACAATAATAATAACATAATATACGGTCTGTTTTTACAAATTTTTCTAATTCTTCCCCAAATGTACTTTAATAACTTTTGTCCCCTAATCCAGGACCCAGCCAAGGACCTCACATTGAGTTTGTTGTGTCTTTTTAGTCTCCTTTAAACTAGAGCAGTTCCTCCCCCCTTTTGTTTGTTTGTTTGTTTATTGGTTTTTTGGTCTTTTATGACATTAACATTATTAGGAGTCTCTGCCAGTTGTCTTGTAGAATGTTTGACAACCTAATTTTATCTTTTTTTCTTGGTTAGTTTCAGGTTAAGCATTTTTGGTAGGACTACTACATGTATGCTTTTCATTACTTCATGTCAGGAGGCACAGTGACATCCGTTTGTGGTTTTATTGGTGATGCAGAGCTTGGTCATGATGTAGATCACTTGTATTAAGGGTACATCTGTTAGATCACTTTATTGCAAAGCACTTTTTCCTTTTTTTAATAAGTCAGCTGTGGGTACATGCTTTGAGACATGGGGCTGTCCTGTTCCCTAATAACCTTTCACCTGATGGTTTTAGTTTGCTTATTGATTTAATTCAGGGTTTCCCTTGGGGTTCTGTCGTTGGATCTGTGAAGCAGCAGCTCCTCCCCTTCTCCCAGCGTACCCCTTTGTATATGTATTTTTCCAGGGATGTAATCCATGACCTCCAAAATAGTTAAAAGATTTTACTCCTTGTTTTTGAGGTGCTTTCTACAAGTTTCTGTGCATCACAGAAATCTACTCTAAGGGGAAGGTTTCTATTCACTGGGATTCAGCCCTGTTCATCTACTTTTCCTAATTATCTAGCCAAGCTTTCCATGCAACCAGATACTTAATTTTTGTTGTTGTCTGTATGAGAGTGCTTTGTTCTGGCCTTTCCCTTATTCTGAGCCACGCATTTTGGATCTTTTGTATTTGGCATAAACTGTTCTAGAAGATAAAGCAAAAGGGTTTAGCCCCAGGTTTTTGGTGTTCTCTCTGCGATTTGGGGGACAGCAAAATTTGATTTGTGTCTTTGTTGACACTGAAATAAATTTAGGTCAATTGGAACTGAGTTAAAATACTACAATATAGTTTTAGTTGTCTTGAGACATTTTCACAAGTGTAAAATAGCTCTTTTTGACTGTGTAGGCAAAAAGATCCAGCAGGTGACTTTAGAAAGCCGTGCATCATTAAGCCTATTATGGAATAGCTATAGCAGTGACTAATTCTTGACTTTCCCTGCTCAACCGGGAGAGCAGTATGGAATTAATCATGGCAGTACCTAGTGAGGTGTGCTTTGTTTCATCTATTTTTAAAAAAATATATTTTATTTATTTCTTACAGAGAGGAAGGGAGAGGATAGAGAATTAGAAACAGCGATGACAGAGAAACCAACCAGCTGCCTCATGCACACCCCCGACTGGGGATGTGTCCGCAATCAAGATACTTGCACTTGACCGGAATTGAACCTGGGACCCTTCAGTCCACAGGCCAATGCTCTTTTCACTGAGCCAAACCAGTTAGGGCTGTTTCATCTATTAATTAGCCTTTGGTAACATTGATTTGCCTTGCAAATCAGTGCTAATCTCTTAACATACATCATCTTATTAATGTCTCACAGTAACTGTATGAACAATGTACTTTGTCCATTTTACAGATGTGAAACTGAAGCTCAGTGTAACATTAAGTATGTTTGCAAGTACCAAACAGATATTGCTGGAGCTAGGACTCGCACTGGGATCTGTCAGCTTCCAAAGCCTGATTATTTCTGATAATGATTAAATTGAAATTTCTCTTATCAGATCACTTGATAAGTTCTTAATTCTGTCAAGAATATGGCTGTAGGAAAAGGATGTTTTCAAAGTTCTGAAAGCACTGGTTCTCAAAATGTAATTATGTTAAGGAATATAATCACAACCAAACATACTTTATATTGCTGTCTAATTTGGGACCAGAGCTGGATGGGAAATTGAACAGTTGGATGATGTTTTATTTACATATGACATCAACACGTGCTCATAGTAACTTTTTTTGTGTCTTTGTTTGTTTGTTTTTATTTTCAGTGTTTAACCTTATTGCCCCTAAGTAAATCTTAGGTCAGGTCATAAATGCTCAGTTCCTGGGAGCATTTTATGATGCACAAGGAAATGATATTTTTCCTAAAATATGTTTCTCCTCAGCAGGTTTTCAACTTATAAAAGACAATGACTACTGATGAAGGTGCCAAAAACAATGGAGAAAACCCAGCAGCAGCTGTTGCCGAACAGGGAGAGGATATTACCTCCAAAAAAGACAGAGGAGTACTAAAGGTGAGGCCTTAAGGATGAATGATATGAAGGGAAATTTATTGTTTGTGAAAATCGTGTGTGTGTGTGTGTGTGTGTGTGTGTGTGTGTGTTGGGGGGGTAGTCTGGAGAATGTTTACTGAGGCTTACTAAGTGACAAAAATTACAGTTAAATTCTCATTTCATTCATAATTTGAGGTTTATTTTTAATCCCAGATTATTGATGGTGAAACTGAGGCCCAGCCAAACATTACCACTAAATTATTATTTCATAGCATGAAGTTTATTTTATTTTATATATGTGTGTGTGTATGTGTGTATATACACATATTTATTTTATATATGTGTGTGTGTGTGTGTGTGTGTGTGTGTGTGTGTGTGTGTGTTACACATATCACTTGAGGATATTTTGCCATTGATTTTCAGAGAGAGTGGAAGGGAGGGAGAAGGAAAGAGAAAAAAAGAGAGAAGAAACATTAATATCAGAGAGACATATCAATGGGTTGTTTCCCACACTCACCCTGACTGGATGGAACCTAGAATCCAGGCACATGCCCTTGACTGGAAATGGAACCCATGACCCTTTGGTGTGAAGGTTAAAGCACTAACCATTGAGAACACAGGACAGGGTTTGAGGTGTTTTGTTTTTTTTAAATATATTTTATTGATTTTTTACAGAGAGGAAGAGAGAGAGATAGTTAGAAACATCGATGAGAGAGAATCATCGATCAGCTGCCTCTTGCACACCCCCCATTGGGGATGTGCCCGCAACCAAGGTACATGCCCTTGACCGGAATCAAACCCGGGACCCTTCAGTCCCCAAGCTGACACTCTATCCACTGAGCCAAACCGGTTTTGGCTGAGGTTTATTTTTAATCCCAGATTATAGATGGGGAACTGAGAGACCCAGCTAGGTAATTACTTGCCCAGTATAATATGTATAAATAAAAGCAGATCTGGAGTTCAGGTCCAAGTTATGTCTGACTCCAAAAGGTGAAGTGTATACAAATGTATTATCTTAATATAATGTTTCAGTATATGAAATCTAGCCAATAACAATTTAAAAGACTTTTTTAAAGGAAAAAAAGAAGAATTTGCAAAGTTCAAAAGGATTTGTTGTTTTGTTGTTGTCACCAGAGGATATGTTTATTAATTTTTTTTTATGAGAGAGGGAAAGGGAGAGAGAGAGAGAGAGAGAGAGAGAGAGAGATAGATAGAGAGAGAGAGAGAGAGAGAGAGAGAGAGAGAGAGAGAGAGAAATATTAATCCATTGCCTCCACACTCATCCTGACTGAGGATCGAACCCTCAACCTTTTGGTGTTTAGGCGACAGACACTTCAATCAGCTGAGCCACCTGGCCAGGCAAGAGCCTGTTTTTATATACAAACTAGGAGCCCAGCTGAAGAAACTGTGTGGCGCTGCCCTGCCTTACACCTGAACCTCTTCACACACAGCTCCAGCGCGCCTGGCCCGTGCCCCCAACCCCTCTGGCCTTCTCTGGTGGCTTCAAGCCCCACTCTTGGTCCCTCCAGTCGCTCCGATTTGTCCCTCCTTCGCCAGGCACCTCCCCACTTCCACCCTTTCTCCAGAGTGATGTCATGGTGCCAGAGGAGAGCGTGGAAGCCTTCCGCCTGCTGCGCTGTGCTCCTTCCCCTGGCAGGTGGACAGTAGGACGCTCTGAATGCGAGCACTGGGTAGCAAGGACTGATGATGGGGGTTCTATGGGCTCTCACCTGCGCCCTCTCCAGCACGGGATGGTCCTGCCTCCTCTAGGCTCCTCCCCACTTCCGCCCTGTCTCCAGAGTAATGCCCCCCTTGCACGCTCAGGCAGCCTCCTGCAATCAGTTGTTACATGTTACAGTGTCCCAACCATTATCATATTAGCTCTTTATTATTATGACTAGAGATCTGGTGCATAAAATTCACGTACATGGGCGGGGGTGGGGAGGAGGTTGTTCCTCAGCCCAGCCTGCACCCTCTCCAATCTGGGACCCCTTGAGGGATGTCTGACTGCCTGGTGGAATCAGGCAGTCAGACATCCCTCTCACAATCCAGGACTGCTGGCTCCCAACTGCTCGCCTGCCTACCTTCCTGATTGCCCCTAACTGCTTATGCCTGCCAGTCTGATCACACTCTAACCACTCCCATGCCAGCCTGATTGATGTCTAACTGCTCCCCTGCCAGCCCATTTGCCCCGAACTTCCCTCCCCTGCCAGCCTGATCACCCCTAACTGCCCTTCCCTACAGGGTTGATTGCCTTCAACTGCACTCCCTTGCAGGCCTGGTCCTCCCAACTGCCCTCTCTGCTGGCCATCTTGTTTCTACATAGGGGCAGGATCTTTGACCACATGGGTGCAGCCATCTTGTGTGTTGGAGTGATGGCCAATTTGCCATCACTCCAACACATAAGATGGGACAGAGGCCTGGTGCACGGGTGGGGGCCAGCTGGTTTGCCCTGAAGGGTGTTCCGGATCAGGGTGGGGTTTCCTTGGGCTGTGGGGTGGCCTGAATGAGGGGCCTGTGGTGGTTTGCAGGCCGGCCACGCTCCCCAGCGACTCAAGGGAGGCCCTGGTATCTGGGATTATTTATCTTCTATAATTGAAACTTTGTAGCCTAGAGCAAAGCCAAGCCTCCTGCTCGCTCTATATATATAAAAGTCTAAGTGACCGGCTGACTGTTCTACCGGTAGCTACAATGTGCACTGACCACCATAGGGCAAACCCTAAACACAGGAGCAGAAATCGCAGGCATAGAAACATGGAACAGATTGATGAATTTCAGAGGGAAGGGAGGAGGAGGGAGGGCGGGAAGATATTAACCAAAGATCTTATATACATATTAGAGGCTCCGTGCACAACCAGTGGGGTCCCTCAGCCTGGCCTACGCCCTTTTACAATCTGGGACTCCTCGAGTGATGTCTGAGAGTTATTCGATAGTTTCAGCCTGATTTCTGCAGGCTAGGCCTAGGAACCCCACCAGTGCTTGAATCCAAGAACTGGGCCTCTAGTAAACTAATAAGATTTTTAGTTTTGTAAGGCTAGTAAGAAACATTTTGAGATTGTAAATTTTTAAAAATCGTATCATTTATTACTATCTGGAGCCTCAGGCTTTTGTTAAGATTGAATAGGTCTACTAACTGTGTGACCTAGGGCAGTTTAGTTAACCTATTTGTGGGGAATAATAATAATACTACTTCGCTCTTAAAGTTATCAGGAGTACATAAAGCATTTAGTAAGGTCCATGCCCATGGTAATCTTATATATATATTCATTTCTTATTTTATTTTATTTTATTTTATTTTTTTAAGACCAAAGCAACTCTGAAGTCAGTAACTGGCCAAAGATCATAAGATGATATTATGTCCAAAACCGGTTTGGCTCAGTGGGTAGAGCGTCAGCCTGCGGACTGAAGGGTCCTGGGTTTGATTCCTGTCAAGGGCACATACCTTGGTTGTGGGCACATCCCCAGTAGAGGATGTGCAGGAGGCAGCTGATCGATGTTTCTCTCTCATCGATGTTTCTAACTCTCTATCCCTCTCAATTCCTGTCTGTAAAAATCAGTAAAATAGCCAAAACTGGTTTGGCTCAGTGGATAGAGCGTCGGCCTGCGGACTGAAGGGTCCCGGGTTCGATTCCGGTCAAGGGCATGTGCCTTGGTTGCGGGCACATCCCTGGTGGGGGCTGTGCTAGAGGCAGCTGATTGATGTTTGTCTCTCATCGATGTTTCTAGCTCTCTGTTCCTCTCTCTTCCTCTCTGTAAAAAATCAATAAAATATATATATTTTTAAATCAATAAAATATATTTTTTAAAAATAATAAAATGATATTGTGGACCTTACTTTTTTTAAAAATGAATTGAGACTAGATTGTAGCTTTAGAACAACTCCAGATTTTGATACAAGATTGTCTTGCTGTGGAAACTTGAAGTGATACTACAGTAGCTGACTTCTTGGTAGCTACCATATTCATCCTATCTGCCCAGTTACTGGTTCACAGTGCTGGAAATGCAGATTCCCTCTGGGTGGGGCTCAGGCTCCCACATACTGCATGTAGTTCATGAACATGAGCACGTCTAGAGTAGCAAGTGATTTCTTTTTTTTTTTTTTCTTTTTTTTTTAAAATATATTTTATTGATTTTTTTTTTACAGAGAGGAGGAGAGAGGGATAGAGAGCTAGAAACGTTGATGAGAGAGAAACATCGACCAGCTGCCTCCTGCACACCCTCCACCGGGGATGTGCCTGCAACCAATGTACATGCCCTTGACGGGAATCGAACCCGGTAGCCTCAGTCCGCAGACTGATGCCCTACCACTGAGCCAAACCGGTTTTGGCGCAAGTGATTTCTTTTAGGTTAATTTTTTTAAAACATTTTCCCCTGCACCAGTTTTGAATCTACATTTCCAGGACGTGAACAACTAATTGGGCAGATGGAGTGAATGGCTACCAGGAAGTCAGATAGCTGTGCACACCAGCAAGCAATATGTGAAATCACTTCAGATTTCCACAGCAAAATGAAGACCTTGAAGGGCAGAAATGATTTTTTTAAGTAGCTCTTATTTTTAAAATTATAATCATTTTCCCCAATTTTATTGATATACTTAACCTATAACAGTATGTAAATTTATGGTGTAGAATGATGATTTGATACATTTGTATGTTTCAAAATGATTATCACAATAGGGTTAGTTAAATCTCCATCACCTCATATAATTACCTTTTTTTTCTTTTTTGTGATGAGAACATTTAAATTTTAATACCTTAACAACTTTCAGGTATATAATACAGTGTTGTTAATTATGGTCAGCATACTATACATTAGATCCTCAGAATTTACCTATCTTATATCTGAAAATTTATATGCTTTGACTTATATTTCACCATATGCCCCAACCTTTAGCCCTTGGCAACCACCATTTTACTTGCTGTTTTTGTGAGTTCAACTTTCTTAAAATTTAACACATAAGGGCTATGACTGTTTTTCTTTGTCTGGCTTACTTCAGTTAGCATAATGTCCTCAAAATACATCCATATTGTCACAAATGGTATGATTTCCTTCTCTCTCGTGGCTGAATAATATTCCTTTGTGCGCACTATATTCGTGTGTGTGTGTGTGTGTGTGTGTCGGGGCGTGTATGTGTGTATATGTATCATATCTTCTTTATTCAGCCATAGCTGTTGTGAATAATGCTACAATGAACATGGGAGTGCAGAAAACTTTGAGATAGTGATTTTGTTTACTTTGGGTTTATATACAGAAGTGAGGTTGCTGGTAGTTTTATTTTTAAATTTTTAATGAACCTCCATGCTCTTTCCCCCCTCCCCCATTGATTTTTAGAGAGAGTAGAAGGAAAGATGGGGAGAGAGAGAAACATCAATTGGTTGTCTCCTACATGCACCTTGATCAGTGTGGGGAACCTGCAAGCAAGGTATGTGCCCTTGATCAGAATCAAATCCAGAACCCTTTAGTCCTCGGGCTGATGCTCTATCCACTGAGCCAAACTGGATAGGGTAATAATTGAATTCAGACCCTTCTCCAAAAAAAGATGTTCTTGAGACATTAGCTATCATCCTCTAATAAAATGATTGTGTTAGCATAGGTGATTGACATGATAAATTACACCACAACATGCCTGGATTTGATTTTCTTTTCCCAGGACTGACCAATTGCATTAGTGGCTTGCTCTGCCAAGAACAAAATAAGTAAACTGGATTTTATAATAGCTAAATATTTTGCAGCTTGGAGGGGTTTTTTTTAAGGCATTTCCTTTTCTAGAAAATAAGTTATTCAGAATTATATCAAACTGTGCAGTCACTCCGTGTTTTTATAGATTGAATATTCAAATAATAGGAAGGGTAACCTGTTACACCAGGAAATTGGTCTTTTTGAAATTAAATCGAACTAGTAGAATCTAGTCAGAAGCTAATCTTTTTATCAAAGTAGAGAATAAATAAAACCTCACCTTAGGAATGTTGCTTTAGACTTCTTTTTGAATGTTTTTGAAAGTCTACTAATCTTTTTATCTAATTCAGTTTGTATATGGACTGGCTCTGTGTTTTGAGAGATTTTAGTGTCAAAACATGGGGAGCATTAAACCAATGAAGCAGGATCTGTTGGTAAGTTATTTTGAGGGAGCAATGTTATTAACAGGATTAAATGTAGTATTAAAAATTAAGAGTAGAATAGGACAATTCTCTAATAGTGCAGGTTTTTTAAGAGAAGTAGGAGGGGAGCATTTAGAAAAGACAGGTAATTATTTGCATATCTGCCTGGGTGTGACATGAAATGGTCTGTAATCTTTTCATTCTCTGGTTAAATGTTAAAAAAGTTTCACCTCCTTTTTCTTGATGTTTGTCTTTTTTAGATTGTCAAAAGAGTGGGGAATAGTGAGGAAACACCAATGATCGGAGATAAAGTTTATGTCCATTACAATGGAAAATTGTCAAATGGAAAGAAGTTTGATTCCAGTCATGATAGAAATGAACCATTTGTCTTTAATCTTGGCAAAGGTAAGAGGGTATTTTTGAGTTTTGTTTTGCTTAGAGTTTTTACTATTTATATTATATAGGAGCTAGTGGATCCTTTCTTCGCCAGACGTTAAAATGTTTTTTTAATCCTTACCCAAGAATGTTTTGTGTGTTTTTTTGATGTGTTCTTATTGATTTCAGAAAGAGGAAGGGAGAGGGAGAGAGAGAAACGTCAATGATGAGAGAATCATTGATAGGCTGCCTCCTTCACAATCCCCTAGTGGGTATTGAGCCTGCAACCAAGGCATGTGCCCTGCCCAGGAATCAAACCATGATCTCCTGATTCATGGGTCGAGGTTCAACCACTGAGCCACACCAGCTGGGCTCAGAGATTTTTTTTTTTTTTTTTTTTTTTTTTTTTTTAAGATAAAGGGAGGGAGAAAGAAAGAAACATCAATGTGAAAGAGAAACATTGATCATTTGTCTCCTGTACCCTCCCTGTCTGGGGGGGGTTGAATCCAAACCCTTTGGTGTACAGGATGATGCTCAACCAACTAAGCCACCTGGCCAATACACAAAAGTAAAGAATTTTTAAAGTAGTTCTCAGATTACTGCTCTTGATCCTGGGGTGTTCTTGAGATCCTTTTAGGAGGTCCATAATATCAAAATTATTTTCATAATGTTATTTATCTTTGTACTGTGGAGCCAAAGAACACAAGCAGTCATGTGTCCTTTACTGCCCTCATTTACTGTTTAAGTTAGAAAAAAGGGGAAGCCAGTTCCTCTTAAGAATGTCCTTGATATAGTGTATAAAATACTAATTTTATTCAGTCCTAATCCCTGAATTTCATATTGTCTTGCTGTTTTGTGATAAAGGGAAGCACATATAAAGCACACTCTACACCCAGTTCATAGCTATCAAGAAAACACACCTGTGCCCTAGCTGCTTTTTTTCCCCTTTCCATGAAACATAATTTTTATTAGAAAGGGCAAAAGGTATGATTATTCAGACTTGATTATTCAATACTAGGCAGATATTTTCTTGAAAATGAGTGAAGTAACCTGTTAATTCAAGGAGAACAGCTGACAGTATTTGTTACCATTGAATTTTCAAGTGAAGGTCACAGTTTGGACATTAGTATTTGCCACTTTGAGTTTTGATAGCTTCCCAAAGCCTAAAAGATTTCTGATGAGGTCAGTGGATGTTAATGTGTGTGCTTTCAAAACTATTATCTGATGAAATCTGTTCACATTTGGAAAATCTGTGTAACTCAGTGAACAAGCATTTTCCCAATGACTAAGGCAAGCTATTATAAAGTTATACATGAGTAAAAGATTCATTTAGTGTGCACACTAGACCAATGATTTACTGTAGTATAAGGTAAAAAGTTCATTTATATGTTTTCAGGTTCTACATTGCAACTAAAGTTTATGAAGCTACCATTTGTCTAGTTTTGATGTAGTAATGTATGATTACATTTCATAATATCCTGGAAAAGCTATTAAATATTCTTTTTCAACTATCTATCTTTGTGAGTTTGGATATTTTTGCCATATACATCAATCAAAATTGCCATAGACAAATACAAATATAGGTTTGAGAATCTGGTTGTCTTTCTATATTTTTATATATTTTATTGATTTCAGAGAGGAAGGGAGAGGGATAGAGGGATAGAAACGTCGAAGGGAAAGAATCATTTATCAGCTGCCTTCCACACACCCCACACTGGAAATCAAGCCTGCAACATAGGCATGTGCCCTGACCAGGAATTGAACTGTGACTTCCTAGTTCATTCATAGGTCAATACTCAGTCACTGAGCCACACCATCTGTGCCCGGTTGAAGTCAGACATATTTTACATTTGTAAAATCACAAAACAATGTCACACTCCTCACTAACTTTTTAAAAATATATATTTTCACAAAAATAAGTCTATTAATACAATGAGATTATTTTTATTTTTAAATGAATTGTATGTAATTATTTTTATCTTTAATATTGTAACTATAGGTATATAAGTAAATTTTGGGGGTCCTCAATTTTTAAGATGTGAAGGGTTAATAAAAAAGGTTAATAACCTGAGAATAAAAAAGGTTAATAACCACTGTTTCCCCCAACTCAGTATTTACTACAATTTCTTTCTTTTTCTGCCTCTACAACTTAGTTGAATTGCTAACTAAGCAGTAATCTGGGAAAGGAAGCAGCAAGTGAGGAACTAAGGAGTTAAACTCTTCCTGCCTTTCTGCCACTCTGTCTTCCCGGTACTTGTAGATGTTAGTTTGTCATGGTGCCTTCTGCTTTCTGTCCAGCTGTTCTCTTTCCAGGCCCTAGTGCTGGCTGTGCCACTTCCCACTTCTCCTTTGAGTCCTTCATGACTTAATGGCTCATGTGAGATTAATCTTGTGTTTCAATAAGATAGCAGTCAGCCCTGGCTGCTATAGCTCAGTGGTTGAGCATTGTCCCGTGCACTGAGAGGGCGACGGTTAGATTCCCGGTTGGGGCATGTGCTCAGGTCACAGTTTCGTCCCTGGGAGGCAGCCAATCCAAGTTTTTTTCTCACGTCAATTTCTCTCTCCTTTTTCCTTCCTCTCTTTCTAAAATCAATAACATGTTTCTTTAAAAAAAAAAAATAGCTATTAAGATTATTTTTCTTAATGTAGCAGGTAATAATGGCAGTTAAAGTAGACTTTTTTCCATTTTTGTTGATTTAGGGATGTGAAGCTCAAGGGCCATCAGTATGGCTATGACATTATTTAATTTAGATGAACTCGGAGTAAATGGCCATGGCAGACCTCTTTGTTCCCACTGCCTAAATTTTATCCTACCCTTTGAATTTCTGTCTGGAAGAAGTTGATAGATTTAAGATAAGTCTTCTCTTGGCGGTTATCTTTGCAAGTAGACTTAAGACTTGCTAAGAATTTATACTGCCACCTTCTCTATCCAGATAGTCTCAGTAGAACACTATGATGAAGAAGTCTTTTATATTGCCTATAATTTTGAGCAGAGAAAAGAGAGATAACTTTCAGTGATATGGTACCTGCAACATAACTATTTAGAGACAGCGTCTCTCATGGGGAGAGCATCTAGCTGGGTGTTGGGCAGCCAGGGTTCCTCTCTTCGCTCTTTATTCTGGTATGTTAACATGAATAAGCCACCTAACCTTCTTTCCTGATCTTATAAAACGTAGAAGAGCTTTAAGATTAATCCTGAGCCTACAATTCCATTTTTGTACTTTCTGCAAAGAATACAGGAATAAAAACTGTTAATGACTAAAACCAACCCAATGACAGAGCCTTTAAAGGCTCCCTTAAAATAATAATTAGAAATATGATAATAGAGCAATATACTTTTGGTAAAATTTCTGTAACGTGTTCAGTTACCTGAATAAAACAAGAAATATTGGTTAGACTGTGCTATATTTATACTAGAGGCCCAGTGCATGAAATTCATGCACGGGGCGGGTGGTGTCCCTCAGCCCAGCCTGCACCCTCTCCAGTGTGGGATTCCTCTCACAATCCACGTCTGCTGGCTCCCAACTGCTCGCCTGCCTGCCTTCCCAATTGCCCCTAACTGCTTCTGCCTGCCAGCTTGATTACCTCCTAACCACTCCTCTGCCAGCCTGATTAATGCCTAACTTCTCCCCTGCCAGCCTGTTTGCCCCTAACTGCCCTCCCCTGCAGGTCTGGTCACCCCTAACTGCCCTCCCCTGGAGGCCTTGTCCCCCACAACTGCTCTCCCCTGCAGGCCTGGGTCCTCCCACTGCCCTTCCCTGCAGGCCCAGTCGTCCCCACTTCCCTCCTCTGCTGGTCTGGTCACTCCTAACTGCCCTCCCCTGCACTGTGATCGCCCCCAATGCCCTCCTTTGCAGGCCTGGTCTCTCTGAACTGCTCTCCCCTGCTGGCCTGATTGTCCATGTCCATAACTGCTCTCTCTTGCAGGCCTGGTCCCTCCCAACAGTCCTCCCCTGCTGGCCATCTTTTGGCGGCCATCTTATGTCCACATGGGGGCAGCCATCTTATGTTGGAGTGATGGTCAGTCTGCATATTACTCTTTATTAGATAGGATAGAGGCCTGGTGCACTGGTGGGGGCCAGCTGGTTTGCCCTGAAGGGTGTCCCAGATCAGGGTAGAGGTTCCCTTGGGGCATAGAGCAGCCTGGGCAAGGGGCCTGTGATGGTTTGCAGATCAGCCATGCCCCTGGCAACCCAGGCAGAGGCCCTGGTATATGGGATTTATTTATCTTCTATAAATGAAACTTTGTAGCCTTGAGCTGAGCCAAGCCTCCTGCTTGCTTTGTGGCTACAGCCATTTTTATTGGGATTTTTTTATCTTCTATAATTGAAACTTAGTAGCCTTGAGCAGGCCAGGGTGTGAGAAAAGCTTGGCTTCTTCCATCGTCGGGGGCAACTCAAGCCTCCTGCTCTCTCCAGCTCCGTGGCTGCTGCCATTTTTGTTGGGATTTATTTATCTTCTATAATTGAAACTTTATAACCTTAATTGGAGGCCTGGGCTGGCCAGGGTGTGTGGAAAGCTTGGCTTCCTCCATTGCCAAGCCTCTTGCTCTTGGTGGCTGCAGCCATCTTGGTTGGGTTAATTTGCATACTTGCTCCTGATTGGCTGGTGGGTGTGGTTTGTGGTGTAGCAGAGGCATAGTCAATTTGCATATTTACTCTTTTATTACATAGGATGCTATAGCTGTAGCTACTTTATCAAAATAAAGACAAATTACATAAATGGACTATAGCATGCATGCTGTATATTGAACTCTCTTGACCCCTTATATTGTATTCACTCTCCCAAGGAACTAAATAGAAGTAAATAGTTGGATGGAAAGTCATACTAAGTTGACAATTTTATTGTGAGTTCAGTATTTAAAAGCTTATTTATAAAAACATGCAAAATACAGGGTGGGGCAAAAGTAGGTTTACAGTTATTTATATGGAAAACAATACGATAATAAATAAAAATACAAGAATAAACTTTGTATTTGTGTGTTCACAACTGTAAAACTATTTTAGCCTTACACTGTATACTTGCAAAAT